GGTCCCTCACATGGGCACTAGAGTAGATGATTTAAGTACCTTTTTTCAGGTCTGATTTCTATTTCTTTGTAATCAAATATGATCCCAGTTGTTTCCACTTTTGACCATTAAACATTGTCAAGTTCTGATGGTATAGAATCTTCATGGTGTTATTTACACCTTGCTCTTTCTCAGTGGAGAGTTGTTCTACCCAACATCCAACAGTCTTCTTCATGGAACCCATGTGCCCTCCACAGAGGAAATTGATAGGATGGTCATGGACTTGGAAAAGCAGTAAGTACTATCATGGAACCTTAAGTTTTAGTACTGATTAATGCCTCATGACAAAATTAGCTTTGTGGTCTTCACGTGTAGCAAAGGGTAGAAATTAAGGAACACCTCAATTACTAGTTTGAAGAGTGTCCCATCACTGTCATTTGTACATTTGTGTTTTGAATAGGGTAATTATTAGGCAGAACCAGCAGTATATAAATTCTCTTTAAGTAATTTAATGTCACTGCCCTTGTATTTCAACATGAACTTGTGTTCCTAAGACTAGATCATCTGACAGTACTACTAACTTATAAATTCAGTGAAGTTATTTCTTCACAGAATTTTGTCCTAAAGATACTGCTTTCAGTCTTAAGACCAAAGAAGAAAGCAGCTTGGAATTCTGTAAATCTGTTTCCATTACTGATTCTACTCTTAGTTAATTATTTGGGCATGTTTTATTAAGATCAAAAAAAGAAGGCAATTTTGAATATTGTCAATTTTCTTTTTTTTCCAGAATTGAAAAACGAGACAAGTATAGTCGGAGACGTCCTTATAATGATGATGCAGATATTGACTACATTAATGAGAGGAATGCCAAATTCAACAAGAAGGCAGAAAGGTTCTATGGGAAATATACAGCTGAAATTAAACAGAATTTAGAGAGGGGAACAGCAGTCTAATCTCCTTTGGGAACTCTTTTGACTGCCAAATTCTAACAGTAAACCAGGACTATTACCTTTCCTTTTTTAAGTTGTTAAGTGTTTTATGACTATTTTCATGCTTATATATTTATTATTCACTCATTTCAGAGACAAAACATGTATTTTTGTTCAGTGAGTGCACTTCATGTGTGTACCCTACTGGGCTTAACACTACTAGCTACAAACATATGTCATCATCATCCTTACATTTGTCATGTTTGCCTTGAACTAGAGTTGAACTTGGGGGCTTCAGAGATAGAATGCTAAACTGGGACTAATTTTTCTTGTAAGCTATGGTGGGTGGTGAAAGGAAGGGGATAGTGGCTACTGGAAATTCCCCCTGGCCCACCCTCTCCAGAAGTAGTCACAATTAACAGGTGCTAGCCTATCCCATGCTCTAGCCCAGGGCCCAGGTACATTTATGGGGCAAGCACAGAAAGTAGGAAAACTGATCCTTTAATGACATTTTGTATATACACCATTTTAAAAGCAAATTTCCCTCGGAAGAAAGTAAATTAAAACATTTGGTCAAAGTATTATTAAAATTTACATAATACAGACTTTTTTTTTAAACCTAATTGAAATTTTAACCTCATTTCAACTGTAGCTGAGAAATGAGGGCATGTAGTTTGAGTAGTAGTTATGGGAAATATAGGGCAAAAACCTGAAAGTCAGGAGTATCCCATAAAAGTAAAGGTTATTTGTGCCATTTTATATGAAAAAAGAGTAGGACTGGCATTCGTTAAGTTGGGCACACCAGTAGCTCTCATTTAGTGAATGATGGACTGATTAAGATAGTAATGTGCTATTAATGATTCAATGTACTATGAATAAGGAAACTTTTAATGTACATTCACATGCAGAATGAGGTAGATCTATATATACTAACATGAGAAGATGCTCATACTCAAGCAGTTTGTGTAAGGCATTAAAAAAAATCCAGAATGTACTTCATACTATGTATGATTGCCTCTGTGGAATGGAAACAGAAGTTTGACTTCCTTTTAAAAATAATTCAAGGGTAGGCCCCCCAAGGGGGCCCAGTCTGTTAAGCAGCTGCCTTCACCTCAGGTCATGATCCCAGGGTCCTGGGATTGAGCCCAGCATCAGGCTCCTTGCTCAGTGGGAGCCTGCCTCTCCCCTTGCTTGCACACACGCTCTCGCTAACAAAATCTTTAAAAAGAACAAATGTGTAACTCCCTTAAAAAATAATTCAAGGGACACCAGGGTGCCTCAGTCGGTTAAGCATCTGCCTTTGGCTCAGGTTATCATCCTCTACCCCTAATGCCTGGCTCGTGCTCTCTCAAATCAATAAAATTGTTTAAAAAATAAACATTTCTCCAGAGGAGAAAAACACTCCCCCAAAGCCACAGCTGCTTCAACTGTAGTCTGATTTGAGGATTACTCTGAAGTTGACTAAGTGGATGGTCAAACAGGCAATATTTTAATAAGCTCAGTATAGGAAAGGTTCATTTTGAAGAGCTGGGGAGTAGGCACTGGGAAAAAACTCAGGAAACTCATTTCCAATTAGTAGATGGTAGCAGTTAAAGGCAGCATGGGAGAAATTGCCAGAGAGCTTGTAGAGAGCAGCAGGCCAAGGATACAATCCTAACAGTGGGCAAAGGACAAAGAGCCAGTGTAGAAAGTGGAGGAGGTCAAAGGAAATAAATGCATGTAAGTCCCTGAGTCAAAATTTTGAAGGACTCTCTAGACAGTGGAAAGCACTCATTAAGACCAAGTTTTATTTTACTAGATAAGCGTTAATAGAGGTTTTCAGCAAAGAAAATGAAAGGACAGCATGCTATGGTGAGTTAAATATGGTTCCTCTAGTTCACACTTTAAGAAAAAAAAGCAAAGGGTTTAACACCTCAATCAATCTAGGTGTGCTTTCCAAAATGGTGGCCACCATATGACTTGGAAAGTGGCTAGGGCAAACAGGTGCTTTAAGTGTAAGATATACATACGCTCATCACAATACCTAGTACAAAAAAAGTTAAAATGCCACTAATTCTTTTGAGATGACACTTCAGATATACTAGAGTAAAAAATCCTTTTTTTTCTTTTACCTTTTTCACTGTGGTTCCCTCATTTTCACCAGACAGCACTGAAATCTAGTCTTTTGGTACACTTTCTCACCTTCAGGACCACCTATGCTGTACTGTCCACAACTTACACAGCATCATGGTATCACACCTGGGCAACTGTATCCCACTTACATAATGACAGCAGTCTGGGTATACACACGCAGTACGTTTATCTTCTGTGTTACAAAGCCCAGGACAAACTATCACAGACCCGGCGAAAAGACAAAGTGAACTTAAACAAGGACGCTGTTAGTACTTGATGGGGCAATTATGGGGGTAAAAAATACGTATGTATAAACCATACTCTTTTCAGGACACTAGATAAAACGTTCCAACAGACTAAGAAATGAAATAGTGAAGCCTCAAGTGTGCTAATAAACTGAAGGAGAAGCTAATGGTGAAGAATGTTGAAGAGAAAAATCACTGCAAAGTATCAGAAACAGTAATAAGCCAGACCCTTCGTATATGATGGAGTTGGGTTAGAGTTAGAGGACTTGTCCAGTCACTTAGCTGTTAATAAGGGCTAATATTCGAATACAGGTCATAATCACAGAAAATGCTATTACCAGCAAAATGTAGGTGAAAGGGGCGCCTGGGTGGCTCAGTGGGTTAAAGCCTCTGCCTTTGGCTCAGGTCATGATCCCAAGGTCCTGGGATCAAGCCCAGCATCAGGCTCTCTGCTCAGCAGGGAGCCTGCTTCCCTTCCTCTCTCCTCTCACCCACCCCCCTCTGCCTGCTGGTTAAAAAAAAAAAAATGAAGGTGAAAAAGATTATCACTTCATTCTTTTCCAAAGTCTCCCTCACAAGGAAATCCTCTGCAACTTTGCTAAGAATACTAAAGATACTAACAAGGTGTTCCTATTAGCCTCATTTTCAGTTACAAATCAAATCCTCACCTTTTACTGAATTTGGCTGCAATCACGCCAGCCTGCCAATGTTCTCAGGTCTCCTTAGAAAAAAAAAAAAAAATGAACCTACTGCATAAACTTTCGTACTCCCTTAGGAGCATGTCATGTCCCCCTCCTGGTTAACTACTGTTAACCTAGAGGTAAAATGGACATGTTCACCCAGAGCAGCAAACCTTACAGAATTTCCCATTCATTGTCCTTTTAAGTTTTTCATAAAGTCAAATTTTATTAGAGCAGCTCTCCCATACAATGTTTTAGGACAGAAATATCCTATTATCTATACTTTCCAATAACACAGCCACTAGTCTTAACACTTCAGAAGTGGCTAGTATGACTGAGAAACTGAATGTAATCACAGTGGCTAGATTACCGGAAAGTACAGGTAAAATATTAGATAATAAAGCTTTAGTTAACAGCAAAGTAAGTCCCACTTGAGAACCTTTGTTACTGTCCCTTCTATTTTAAGAATTCATGACTTCTACCTGCTCATCTATTCAAATTATTTTTCCTTCCTTGAGTTGTTGTCTCTTAAAATTCTGCTTATCCTGTTCTCTACCATATCATCCCTATTAAAAATCTATTTCATTATTTCCTAAATTTAAAAGACTACCCAAACTGATGGCAAAACAGAAAGAAAAACATACTTCCAAAAAAAAAAAAAAAAAAAAAAAAGTAATAAAGAAATGCAGCTAAACATCACAAATTTTAGAATTCAAGGAGGCATTCCATTTCTACCTCTTTGGCTGAGTTTCCTACCCACAAGCTAGTAGTTTAAGTTGTCCAGGACAACACTATGCCAGAATTCCATAAACTTTAGGCATAACTTCTGAAATTCAAATGAAGACCCACATAACTGGGGATATTAAAATTCAGCTCAGGGGTGGAGACTTTGAGATTTAGCATTTCTCAGACTCCAGAAGATCAGTGAACCCTACTTCCATCACTCCATGGATCTGGATTTGGGATTAGCAAAGTTTTAAACAAGAAACACTTTATGCTTCTTTAAAATAAAGACTCATAATGTAATATATACATATATAATAAAGTGACACAAATTTAAAAAATAAAAAATTTATTAACAAATATAAACATATCAATTACTGTTCTTATAAATTTTGCTCTTACATAACTGGTATTATACAAAGCATTTACAAGTATATGTACAAGACTCCCACCTGTATGAATCCTCTGGTCCGTGTGTGTTTTCTCTTTATCTATAAGAGAAATCTAAAATGTTAATATTTAAATATTAAGGATTTATGTATTTCTGTGTCATTGTAATTCCAACAATTACCACTAAATGACTCCCAGAGATGGAATAATGCTAGAACACACACTTGCAATAAAGTGCATTTCAGCCAACCTTATACATTAGTTTTCTTTTTTTAGACAGGTAACCACAGTCCATATGGACTTTTCTTCTTATCTATTTTGGGGGATCCTGAAGAGGTCTCTTCAGCAGTAGCTTTAGTAGATTTCTGAAGCATTGGCTTTGCTACAGAATTCTGTAAAAGAAGAAATTCTTAAGTCAGCTATACAAACACATACATTGTATCCAAAATACTTGCTCACAAAATACACTAAGCAATCCCATTAAAAACGAAAACTTGAGACACCAGCCAAATGCAAAAAATGGACCCCACATGATCCCAACTGTTAACCTACTTTAAAAACTACTAGGAAAAATCAAGATCTATATGCAAAGTATATTGCAAAATAATGCATTGACAGAGTTTTCAGTTTTAAGCACTTAGCAGATTTTAAAATATTTGATTACAGGGTTTTCTGAAATGTGGTTTTAAAATAGTTCAGCAAGTACAGAAGAAATATCGAAAAGTAAAGTAAATACTGGTATCAAAAATGTATCATATATAATAGAAAAAACCAATATATACCGGTCACTTTAAGAATGGTAAAAAAATTATGAAAGGTTTATTCTATCTAAAATGGCTTAGTAGACCCTGAATTACCACCACAAAAACAATGAGTATTCCAACAAAAATAAAAGCCCACATAATAGAATTATGTCCCTTAAGTCCAATTTTTGAGTAGTCAATGCCCAGATATACTTACATTAGAGCTAAAAGCTATGCTTTTTTGCTGGGAAGGCTTTTCACTGGGATTTTTAGTTCCATCTTCTAGTTTTCCCGACAGCTAAACAAGTAAGAGAAAAAATACTTTAAAAACAAAACTGATTCAATAATCAGCTTAAGGCACTCTTCCCCAATAAAACAGTATTATATTCCCCTGATGCAAATCCAGTTAACTCTGAAAGTAAAGTCATACCGGAAAATACTTGGTTCCAACTAAGGCATTTGCCAGCTGGAAACCTAATCTGAAAAAGCAACTGGACTAAGACCTTGTTTATTACTAAATACTTAAGCAAACCCACATCTGGGTTTGAAGGGTAGATTCATCTAGAGAACGTCTTTCCTATCTTAACTGATTCTATCAAACTCGTAACTACCTTAAACCTTGAAGGCTATGAATTTTATACTTTCTATTTCATGTAATTAAGACCATACAGTGCAATTTACCAATGCACATCCTGCACATTTCTGGAGAATTATAATAAACTTATCTGCAAGTGAAGCAGGCCTCTTCTTCTGTAATCTTTCAAAACATCTGGAATATATTGCATATATTATGAAAGGGACATCTGTATCACAGATGCCCCACATTACAAACGGTTTTTTAAAAAAACTGTCTTTAGTAGCTTATTAAAATAGTACCTATCCCAACATCTAGCATGCACATGGATCTACCAACAAAAAACTAAACTTTCAGTCTATGAACGTAAACTTCAAATTAGTTAAACCTCTGATGCTTTTGCCCATTTATCAATTACCAACAGATTTTCTTCATCAATGTCTGGAGACCACATTCATGATTTCTATAAGACAGAAATAAAGCAGATAAACTATACTGTATGTTGAATACAGAATTTGTGGGAACATAATGCTGCAAATGAAAGCTACAGATAAAATACTCCGTAAAGGCTAGTTAGAAAAACTGAATAGCTACACAGAATTGCCAAATACCACCTACAACTATGAAACTAATTAGTATTGTGTCATATGAAAATAAAGATCACTAATTTCCCATTATCATGGGGGAGAGACCCTTTCTGGAGCTTCTACTTTGATCTTAAATTATATTTAGGCTTTTCAAGAAGCACTCTAAGATAAAAAAAAAATAAAGTGGCTAATTACATTTTCCTAATAGCAGCTTTCTGAAGACTCTGGATAAACCAAGAATACTTACCTCAAACTTTGCATCACTGTTTGGTACAGCTGTTCCACAGTTCGTCTCTTTAGATGCAAGAACTTTTCTGAGACTAGCTGGCAAGTCAAAGTTAGCGGTTCCTAAAGCTTTTGCTGCATTGGCTTTTGCTATTTCTAACAGCTCCATTCGATCTACAAAAACAAGACAATTAATATTCCTGTAAATCACTTCCCCAAAGAATGCCCATTTTTAGCTGAGAAAAGCAAGCAAGCATCCCTAAATATTCTCAACTGGTTTTCAATTTTCTTTACCAAAGGCCTGAACTTCCCAATTCATTTTTTTTCCCTTCAAATGTGTTTCTCTAAACATATCAAGTTCTTTTGTAAGATTTTATATATGGCACAATCACCACAACTAATGAACAAATACAGATACATTCCTAAATCCGCTCTCGGATTCCTAGGTTTTAGTATTTTATTTATTTGACAGAGAAAGACAAACACAAGTAGGCAGAAAGGCAGGCAGAGAGAAGGGGGGAAGCAGGCTCCCGCCAAGGAGAGGAGAGCCTGATGTGGGGCTCAATCCCAGGACCCTGAGATCATGACCTGAGCCCAAAGCAGAGGCTCAACCCACTGAGCCACACAGGCGCCCAGATTCCTAGAGGTTTCCAATCAAGGTATCTTTTTCTGTTCTGTGATCTTACCCACCATTAAAACAAATCACGTGTGTTAAAATACTGGAACTGCGGCACCTGGATGGCTCAGTTAAGCATCTGCCTTTTTTCTGGTCATGATCCTGAGAGTCCCAGATAAAGCCTCCCATAGGGCTCCCTGTTCAGCGGGGAGTCTGCTTCTTCTTCTGCCCCTCACCCGCCCCACCCCTCACCGCGTGCTCTACCAAATAAGTAAAATCTTAAAAAATAAACACTGGAACAAAATCCAGTTGTTCCACTAACACGGTACTGACAAAAAAGGTTTTGATACTCTTCTTCCCGCTCAACGGATAACAAAAGCTTAAGACAAACTGAGCCACTAGTAATACCTAGAAAAGCTGCACGGAGAAGGGCGGGCCAACCACGAGGAAAAAGGAGTTCCTCCACCGCGAGCTGTTTAATTCCACAGTCGACTTCTAATCCCCAGGCAAAGAACGTCCACTTTAAAAACGGGGTACCAAACAGAGTGCTTTTAACGGCTCTTAACCTGCTAATGTGTCCCTTCTCTGTTTGCTCCCAACGAAACTACTAAGATTACAGGCACCAAAAGCAATGGAAATATCCGCACTACACGGCTACTTTGGTCCCCCAGCACAGTCTTGCTGTCGCCAGCCACGCACGTACGAGGGTGCAAAAGAGAGCTTCGCACCAGGGGACTCACCTTTCTCACTTAAGCGAAAAGGGGTGGGGCTCCGCGACCGGGTCCGGGACCTGCCCCGGGACCCGCCCCTCCAACTTCCGCGTTCCTCCGGGTACAAGGTGCGGCCGAAGCCGTAGTGTCGCCGCCCCCGCGGGAGCGCGTAAGCCCGTCGGTAATACGAGCGTCCCCGCGAGCGGGACCGGCTGCGGGAGCGGGGCCGCGACGGCGACCGGCCGTATCTCCTGGACGCGCCATAGCGCCTGTCGCGATACCGGTGGCCGCGGGAGCGTGACCGGCTGCGCGAGTAGGAGCGCGAGTAGCGCCTGTACTTCCTCTGGTGGCGCCTCCTAGACCAGGACCTGGACCGGCTCCTCCTCCAGGACCGGCTCCGACTCCGCGACGACGCCCGGCTCGAGCCGTTAGAGCGCGACTGAGAGCTCCCGGAAGACGAGCGGCTCCTGGATGCCGAGGACAGGCGGCTGGACCTGCCCGACCGAGACGTCGAGGGGGAACCCTTGTGCTGCGGCGAGCCCGGCCACAGGTCGTTCACGTACTGGGACATCTCGACCCGAGACTGCAAGCTTCTCTCTGTCTCAGAGAACCCCTGCCCGGAAACTCGGCGCCTGGGAAATCCAGGGGGGGTGGGGGGGACCGGAAGTGAGTCACGCGGGCCGATCCCAAGCCAAGAAACTAACAGAGCCGCTCCAACTGCAGGCCATGACGACCACAAAGGCCAGCCTGCACGCCCTACCAGCGGCCCCTTTGTGCGTCACCCCCGCCCCACGTACCTGGGACCGACCCCGCATCACTGGAAAACTTACCACCACAGGCCGCCGACGCCACACGAAAAGTGAAAGTAAAGGACGCCCTCCTTTCGAAGTTGAGAACGAACAGAGGTTTTTCGAAGCTGCTCTTGAGAAAAGGAGGACCTCGACCACCCTCTCCGACCTCCAGACGCGGATTGGGCGGGTGTTCGCAAACGCGTCGAAAATACCAGAAGCCAAGGCGCGGAGCATGCGCAGAAACGTTAGCATGGTGGGCGTGGCTCCCCTAAGCCCAATCACCGCCCTTTCTCCTCTCTTCTCGCGCCCCGCCCTGTCCCGCCTGCCGTGCGCAAAGTCCTGGAAGCGTAGGAGGTCCTCGTCCTCGGGGGCGGGGCGCGGAGGTGCTGCATCCGGGTACCCGTGGGCCTGTTTTCATTGCTGAACCCGGTCGACTGCTGGTGTTTCTTGCGGCCGCAGGCCCAGTTTGGCGACGCTCTCTCTGCTGGGTTAGTGCAGACCCGGCCGTTGCCTCCACTCCCCCGGAAGTTGCAGGCTCGGGCTGACCCTCCCTGGACTCTTTACGGCCACTTCTTCCTGACCTGTGCCAGGCTGCGGACGTCCCAGGATCTCCATTAATGCAGTATCAACTTAGAAAAGGTCGCTTACGCCCATGTTTTGCCAAGTAGAGATTAAGAAGGTTGGAGACAGAATTCGAGACACCCACAATTGACCTATACCGGGGGTCAGAATGACGGCTGAAAAGTCAGTTCCGAAGACTTTATGCTTGATGTTGGGGATTAAACAATGGTGATTGTTTTATTTCTGGGGATTTGTAAATTGGATACATTCCAAACATACTTATGCTTAATAAAGCATAACAGTTGCCCTGAAATAACTTATCGTTGAATGAACTAATCACATCTGCAAATAGAGTCATTGTTTGAGCTTCTTTGCGAGTCAAGAGTGGCAGTTTTACTAAAGTTGCTTTCTTTCGAGGGATATACAAATTTTTTCTCTTCCTCATCTTCAGCCCACATCCCCCAAATAGGCAAAGAAATGGAGGGAATAAAAACCATATCACAGAATCTGCACCCACCCATGTAACCTGCCTTGGTTACTGTCCACAATCATCTACGTCTCTAGGGAAGTATCGTGATGGAAATGGTTCCTAGGGAAAGAAATGTTTCTTTAGAAACGTTTTTCTAAGTGGTATCACAAGTAAACTGAGAAGATACAATGCCCAACTGCCAGGAACTTTTCCTGAAACTTCTCATAAAGCTATATGAGTCACAGAAAAATAAGAGCTTCAGATTTGACAAGTGTAAAAAGGATGTGTTGGGAAAATAGGATGATGGAGTGTGGAGCTTTAGTAAAAAAGAAAGGGTGGTAGGAGTCTCTGACGGGTTCAAAATATCAGTCAAATGAGTGCCTAAAATAAGGTGAGTAGAAAAATCCTGGATGTTAACAGGGAGGATATTGGAAACAATGGGATATGTTACCTTGCCCGTGTGCATGATATTGGCATATTTGTAATATTTGTAATGAGGGAAGAGAAGGCAAGCTGAGGACGAATCAGAAGCTGACACCCACCCCCAGCCAAGGGATATATGTGACATTCTCAAGCATTTCTAGTTGCCCTAAAACTAAGGAGAGGAAAAACAAATAGTTGTAGGGATCACAATCCTGTAAGGCATAAGTCTTCCTCAGTTTACAATGCGTTCGGAATCTACAAGAACAAAGCATTTCTTTAAATAACCTAGCTTCCAGAAGGTAATGTAGATACAATTAAATGTCCTTAACGATGTGCTGCCCATGGACAGATACTTGAAGTGGGCGGAGAGTAATGTTCCTCCCGCAGCTCCTAACTAATGTTAATGGCTTGCTAGATGGGAAAACAACCTTAACAATGGCAACACAGTCCTTCTGAAACCCCTTTTCCTTAGCTCCCCCAACTGATGAAGTTTTAGAATGTAAGTGAGGTTCAGTGGGGTGGAGTCCAGAGCCCATGAAAGAATTCTTGAGACATCTTTGGTGCAAAATGGGGGTTTAGGAAAGCTTGGGGACAGGACCCATGGGCAGAAAGAGCTGCCGCCCTGGGGTGAGGGGTGGCAAGTTCTGAACGATGGGGTTGGGGGAAGTAAGGAAAAAGGGAGGTTGCTAAAGAAGACCTACAGGATACCGGATACCAGAGGCCTTGCCATTGTCAAGGTTGTTTTTCCCTTCTTAGCAAGATATTAAGATAGTTGGGAGGTTCCTAAAGAATGTCACATAAGCCTCACCAGGAGTGGGGGTAGGAGAAGTTGCAGGGTGTCAGCTTTTGCTTTGTCTTCAGCCTGTCTTCATGTTCCCTCATCACAACCCCAGAGTATATAATCAGCTACCCCTCACAACCCTGGGGCAGCAGCTCTTCCGGCCCACAGGTCGTGCCCCCGTGCTTTACTAAACTGCCATTTTGCACCAAAGATGACTCAAGAATTCTTTCTTGGTCATCAGTTCCGGACCCCACCCCACCGAACCTCACCTATATTCCAAAACCCAATCATTTGTATCTAGAATATGTGTAAGTCTACCTGAGTTAAAGTCTGGAAGAAATGTGTTTCTTTTTTTCTAAGCAATAGAGTCTTCTCTGAGCATCTATCCCCTCACTTGATTCAAAATCCATTTTCAGTTACCATTCATCTGCACCTTGCAGAATTTGTAGGCTAATTCAGGCAGAAATGACATCTTCACAATAGCACATTTTCCCATCCAAGAATGTGATGCTTTTCTACATTTATTTAAAATTGTTTAGGGCCTTCACTGGGGTTAGGCAGGTTAATGGCCCCCAAAGAAGTCCACACCCTAATTCCCAGAACCTGGGAATGTTACTTTACTGATGAAATTTTGGAAAATAGTTGAGGTTCGGTGGGGGTGAAGTGGAGCCAAGAGATCAAGGAAGAATTCTTGCGATGTCTTTGGTGCAAAATGGTGGTTTATTAAAGCATGGAAACAGGACCTGTGGGCAGAAAGAGCTGCTCCCCGGGGTTGTGAGGGGTGGCTGATTTTATACTCAGGAGTTAGGGGTGGCAGTTGAGGACAAAGGGGGTGTCCAGAAGGACTGTCATAAGCTAATGACTCTCAGGATACTGGAGGCCTGGTTATTGTCAAGCCAAGGCTATTTTTCCCTTCTAATGAGGTACTAACATGAAGACAGTTGGGAGTTTCCTGAAGGAATGTTACATTCCTCCTATGAGTCCTGTCCTTTTCAGTGGAACTTCAAAAGAAATTCAATTTTATTTACATTTCCCTCTGCCTCAGCCTCCCTCAATTTTATGGAGGGGAGTGTGATATTAGGGCTTCAGGAACTGAGTTACGGGTCTCTGGAAGTTAGGCTATTGATAAGAAAGCTTCTTTCTTGTAAATCACTAGCACATTTGTACACTGAGGGAGACTCCTGTCCTGCAGTACTGTGATTTCTGTCAGTTAATCATCCTTTAGGGCAGCCAGGAGTGCCGGAGGAATGTCACACGTGTCACATGGAGTGGGGGTGGAGTAGGGTGCCAGCTAAGGCTCTGTCCTCAGCTAGCCTTTTGCTCACTCATCACTTACAAAAGGAATTTTACAGATGTGATTAAAATTAAGGACCTTGTGATGAGATTACCAGGAATTATCGGGGCGGGGGAGCTAGGCGCAATCCGTTCCCTGGAGAGATTCAAAACCTGAAAAGGCCTCTAGGAGCTAACATCTGCTGCTTGCTGATAGTCCTCAGATAACAGAGATCTCAATCCTATAACCTCACCGAATTCAATACTGTCAACACCTGAATAAGCAAGGTGTTAGAGATTCTCCCCTAGTCTCCAAAAGGAACACAGCCCTGCTGACACCTTGACTGTAAACAATATGAAAGATTCTTTCACTTGATAGGTAAATTCCATCCATTTACATTTACTAGAGTAACTGCAATGTTGATCTTATCACTTTCATTAGTATCTTATTTCTTTTACTTTGCTTTTTTCACTTTTTCCCATTTTGTTTTGCCAGCATGATCAAGTCTCTCTTTTTTCCTCTCTCACTGCCCATTAGAGGTTCTGCAATGCTTCATCATGCCATTAGTAGTTTAATGGCTATCTTTTTATTTCTTCCAAATATTTAAGCCTGTTTTTCTTCTCCTCCTGTCTTCTTCCACAAATATTTACAGAATGTTTGTTGTATTAGATGCTGTTGGGAAAGTTAAGAAAAATGTAGTGGCCCCTTCCCTTACTAAAATTAAAATATTTCATTAATTTTAATGACACCTACTTTTGTAACAAGTGAGGAAATCCAAAGATATACAAAGGAAAAGCTAAACACCCATTCCTTGGAAGTATGAAATCCTATAAAAGAGGTCCGCATTATTTTCCCCATAAATTAGAAGTAACCAATGTTAACAGTTTAGCAAGTGCCCTGTCATCTTTCTCCAAGCTCTTTCAAATATCATACAAACATGTATAATATTTTATGATTTTTCATAAAAAATTGATTTAAAACTTGCTTTTATAGCCAATATTCTTTGAGATGAATCATATAGATCTAATTTATGTCTATTTATCAGCTGTATAATATTCCATAGTGTAGAAATACCAGAAATTAATCTTTTATCCCTTATTGCTTATTCATGAACAGTCATATGGTATTCAGTTTATCCACTAAAAACTATGCCTTGGAACCGGTGTCGGATTCTGAAAATGTCGGCAGTTGAGGAGCTCCCATGAATGCTCCTAATCCATGGTTTCAAGGTCAACAGAGCCACAGGATACAAGCTGGAGGAGCTGATTACAAGGAGTTACCTCCAAGATATGTGACATGGCAGCCCAGGGATAAGCTCAGCTCTCTCAGACCAATAGACAGGATCAGAGGAGCTTTCAACCAAGAGCCTATCTAGAGTGAGCTACAAAGAGGAAAAAGAGCTCTGAGTGGTTCCGACATAGAAAACATATTCATTGATCTTATAATATCACAGACGAGTTGACATCAGACATCTCTATCGTTAGACCTGCTGTAGAATCATTAGCTACAGTCACCAGTGCAACATTCAAGGCAAGTAACACAAAGATCAATAAACTCCAGTCT